ATAATAATAGCAGCAACAATAATAGTAATAGTAATAGCAGTAAAGATATAAAGATAATACAGACTGGTAATAATAAAGATAATAAAGACAAATAATAAATATAATAGTAATAATACTAATACTAAGATGCTAATAATAATGGCAACAACCTATATCAACCATCAGTGCCAGTCAATGATATTTGTGATACGTTTTTTAAATGTTCAATTGAGTTTCATTCAGAATAATAATAATGATAATAATAATAATAATAATAATAATTAATAATTAATAATAATAATAACATAATAATAATAATAATAATAATAATAATAATAATAATAATAATAATAATAAATATGCATTTTCTTTCTTTCACCCTCTCTTTATTTGCTGTTTCCCTTATCTTCCTCCTAAGGGAACCTGGCAGGTGTGCCTTCTGGATCAGTTTTTTTCCCCCAGTGCCAAGTTCAGCTCCTTTAGGGGGGGAAAAACACTAACCCTTTTTCCTTTTCCTTTTTTAAACTCTGCATTCCAGCCTGGAGCTTAAGAAAAAAGAGACAGGTTAGTCATGGTGATGAAATATTCTTGCTCTGTCATAGGCTAGTGGAAAATTCTCTCTCTCTCTCTCTTTGTGTGTCTTTTTGCTTGGTGAGTAGGAATAGAATAGAATAGGGAATAGGAATAGGGTTGAATAGGATAGAATAAAAGAATAGAATAAGGAACAGAACAGAATAAGGAATAGAATAGAGTAGAATGGGAATTGGAATGGAGTGGAGCGCAGAGCAGAATAGAATAGAATAGAATAGAATAGAATTCTTTATTGGCCAAGTGTAATTGACACACAAGGAATTTGTCTTTGGTGCATATGTTCTCAGTGTACATAAGAAAAAATGAAATATATTCATCAAGAATCATAGATACAACACTTAGTGATAGCCATAGAATACCTATAAGCAATCAAATCATACTAGAAAACAATAAAAGCAATATAAGTTGAGAAGATACAGATCTGACAGGGCTGGAAGATCAAACTGGCCTTCCGGTTTCCAGCTGCAGCGTAATTTCAATTTAAAAACAATTGCCTTTGCTGTCAATATTTTAGGACTATTTGCAGCGCAGGAAGAATTGACCTCAGAGGTGACTTAAAATTTGACTTCAGAAGCCAAATAAAACTGCTAAAAACAGCTGTGACAGGTTATGCAGGTAGTCTTCCACTTACGGCCGTTTGTTTAGTGACCCAAGTTACAGCGTCACTTAGAAAAGACGTGACTTAATGACCAGTTTTTGCCCTTAAGGACCCTCGCAGCGTCCCTGTGGTCACGAGATCGAAATCAGGACCCTTGTCAACTGGCTTGTACTTAGGACAGTTGCGCTGTTCTGGGATTATGTGATCCCTATTTGCAATCACTTTCAAGCAACGTGGGAAGTCACCTTTTTTTTTTTAACGATCGTGTGATTCACTTAACTGCAGTCATTCCCATAGTCAAGGACCACCTGTAAATTCCTAAGTGATTTGTTTAAGGAAGGCCCAATCCAATGGAAAGCTTTAAATTTGGGGCCCCAGAAAGTTCAGTCTCCTTCTCCCATTTCAGGTCTACCTCTGAATGTGTTCTCTTTATCTACCGGCACTTTCCTTTCTGGTCTTTATCAGAATTAGTAGGGCTTTGGGCTTATCAGCAATGGTTGAGATAAAGCCAACCTGGGAGCAAGGAAACTGAACAGCTGAACTTTTTTTTTTGCTCAGATCTTTTGCTTTCAACTTGTGTCCCCAGCCTTCAAATTCAAGGTTATGCCTCTGCTGAGGCAGAGAAGATCGAACTTGGCAGCCGAGGTACAAAAGTCCACCTCCCCAAGCGTGCGTTTTGCTGATCACAAATTCCTGCTTGGAATGTGGAAAGCAAGAAAGAGTTGGAGAGGAAAGGTTATAAAAGAACAGCTGCCTTCTCAGAAAGTGGTATCGTGGAGTAAATACTCTCCATATTTCATAGCGTGTCTCTGCTTTTTTAAAAAAACACACCCACTTGTGAGTATTAGGCTCGGATTGGGGAAACTGACTGCCTCACATCAAACTTACAAAAGGGATTTTCAGTAAATTACTGCTTTGTTCAGTCTTGAGTCCCTAGGGGAGAAACCACACTTTAAACTTTGGTGAACCACATTTTATTTACAACATTCAGACTGAGAACAAGTTCCTGGCACAGCCTGTAAATCCCATAGCATGGCCTTGTTTTCTGACTGACAATGTAAGAAGCATGACACGCAAGGAAAAAGAAATGGGGAGGGAAGAGGAATTGAGCAGTCATTGGGGGAAGAAATCGATAGGTGTGGTTATTTATAGCTTAGGAAGGCAATGAAGCCTCTCAACAGGAGCAAACAACTTATGTACTGCTACCTGCAAAGCTGTATCAATGCCTGTGAGGGAATCTTTATAGATTATTCCTGTGCCTGTCTCGTTAAAAGACCTGTTTTGCAAAATATATAACAGAAAACGGCAGCATTTTGCACTCCTTAAAAAAACAAATAATGCAAGGTTCAAGTTTTAAATTTCCCTCTCTGTTTTTAGTCCTGGTTTAATGCTTACTTGGGTGTTTATTACTGCACTTGTTCTCCTGCATTTCTTTCTTCCCTCTTTCTCCTAGAACTTCAAAGCAATATACGTGGCTTCCCCCATTCATTCGCCCTTCCTCTTTTAACAGCGCAGCCCTCTTTGGAACTGAAGAACCAAAGCTTTAGTATATCAGGCCTGCAGGTGTCTCTTGTGATTCTCGCATAAAGCGAAATAATGTCTTGGGGTGTGTGTTTTTTTTTTGCTCTTCTTTCCCACCCCCCACAGCCTGCGATGGCAGCACCGTGCCTCAGTCAAGGTGGTCAACGAACCCATTTTGGCCTTCAAACCTGGGAGCCCTGAGCGAGCCGCCCTCCAGCAGGTAACAGAGACAAAGAGAGAGGAGAACAGGCAAGGTGTGAGCAGCGCAAGAATCAGAGAAAGAATTTGTTGTGATCTGGGGAACGGGGGAGATAGCTAACCTCTTTACAAAGTTGTTACCTTCTATATAGGCTCTAAATGACTTGAAGGGCAAGACCGAAGAGATCCCGTGTGTCGTTGGGGGCGAGAAAGTGTGGACAGCCGACGTGAGGTATCAAGTGTCGGTAAGTTCCACCAGGAAGGGCCTGCTTCATTGGTACTCTGATATAACAGCTATGTTTGTGGCCTACCGGCCACCGACCCCTTCGGCGTCCAAATCAGAGGAGGTGGGAATCAGGGTCAGCACCTGAGAGGGGGAAGAGGGAATGGAGCTGTCAGAGAAAGAGACACAGCCTGGGTCGTCCGTCAGCCCTCAGATGGAGAGTCAACAGCCCCCAGATCTGGAGGTGGCTGATGAGGAAGAGGAGGAACAGCCGGATCCAGTGCCTGATGCACAGATGCTCAGAAGGCAGAGGAGAGGAGAGCAGTGGAAATCTATGGGCCGGTCCTTGGGACGGAAGAGCCATTACTGCTAGCAAAGCCCCACCCTAGCTTTGGGGATAAAAGGCAGGGGGCGGAGATGAATAGATTGTGGTAGACAACTATTCATCTCCCTGCTGGTCCACCACTGATAGCCTGCCCTTCCAAATCCTTTCTGGAAATTATCAGAATTCTTCTTGGAATTTGCAGTGCCTTCTGAGCGTGTGTGTGTGTGTCAGCTGCGGGTGTGTGTGTGTGTGGAGTGAGCACACCTTCCAGGACTTCCTTTGCAAGTGTGGGAAGAGCGAAGGAAAGACTCCTGAGGTGTTGGGCCAGTTCAGGGGAAAAGGGAGCGAGCCTCACTTTTCAAAGAACTTGGAGACCTTGCAGCTTGCTGTGAGAGGGTGTCCGCTGGTGCTTCTACTAAAGGGAAACATTTCATTAGCTACAAAGGGCTTGTCGTGTTTGGGAGCCAGGTCAGAACAAGCTGTGATATACAATCCCCCCGTGTCTTTCCCCAAAATTGCAGACTCTAGTTTTACTTGTAAAAAGAGCGTGGATTCATCCATGTTTGACCAAAGGCCTATAAGTCTCTGTTTGGGGATAACGGTCAGTACTGGCCATAAGTATTTTACTCGCTGTGTTTCTTTTGGGGAATCTCCCGCGGTTGGAACGCTTACTTTAAAATAACCAGAGGCGTTTCTGTTTAAAACAAGCGCACAAGGGGGTTTTGGATTCCACTCGGAGGATCGCTGGTCAAAATTGTCAAACGTTTTTTCTTCCTCTTTTTATTTTCCAGCCCTTTAAACATTTACACCGAGTGGCCAAATACTGCTACGCTGATAAGGTGAGCAACGCATCCTGTGGTGTGACTTTTTTTTGGGGGGGAGGAGTGGGAATTTTCACAGGTAGGAATCATTTTGGATTGAGGCTGTACTTGCGAGCACGTTTTATAATTTGTCAGTTCCCGAGAGCCGTCTACAAAGGAGGGTGACCCGTTGTTTGTCTGAGCGACTCACTGTTCTGTCCCCTGACTCCAGGCGTTGAGTCTCACCGTTTCTGCCTTTGAGATGAATTTATTTTCTCCTTCCTGAGGCAGCAGAATTTAACCCTTCATTGGGAAGTTTCCTACCAAATTACTCTTCCGTGCCAGCCATTAGGAGCTGTAACCACAACACAGCCTATAGATAAAGAAGTGCGAGGTGAAGGCAGGGTTATACAAAAAAAAACACCCTCAAACCTGTTGTGGCCGACAGCAGCCAGTGGAGCTGGAAGCAGATTTGGACAGGGAGGAGGTTGGGGAGGAGCATGGGCCAGTCCTGGATTCCAGGGAAGGCTCTGACGAGGGCTCTGCATCGGAGGTAGAGATGGGGCCAAGGCCATTGATAGTTAGCTGCCTATGGAGTTGGAGATCAGTGGGGCAGAAGAACAGCTGGAGCCTGATCCCAGTGTGCGCATGCACAGAGCTGCCAGACGAAGGGAACAGCTGAGGAACAAGGGCCAACTCGGGAGTAAAGCCACAGGTGGATGGTGAATGGCCCCTTCCCTAGGGAATAAAAGAGGAGCGAAAGGGGAGAGGGGCTTTGCAGGAAACTATTAGTTCACTCCGGCATGCTTGCCAAGTATTGCTGTGTCTGAAAGATATCGGCCTGGCCCCTCTCCAGGCCTGATAAAGGTCTGTAATTGGGAACTATCGTGAAAGACTGTTGCCCAGGACTTTGTTGGAGAGGAAATTCATTGTAAATCAAATAAAAGGGGTTTATCTGGATGAGGACTCAGCTTTGTGCTGTTGGGGGAAGCCAGGGCAGAACAAAACCTGATTACAGAAGTTTTTGGTCACCTCTGGCCATCCTTTGTGAATAATTGGGTTATTAGGAAAAGAGGAAATGTGTCAGCCTTCAAGATCTTTTCTACTGCTTTGCATCTTTTGGCTGCCATAAGTAACGGGGGGAGGGGATATGTCTGGGAAGAGAGCTGGAGGTGTTACATTCTTGTGTTGTGTAAATGAGGAGTGGGGGGGAGTATAAATTCCTGCTTTTAGGTTTCTATTCCTCGCTTAGCTTTCTTCTCTCTGCGCAGCTGCAAATCTTTATCAAAATATGTCAAGGTCAACGGACAGAGGCCTCATCACCACCTGAAGATGCTCACATGATCATATTCACAACTTTTAATTGGAAGACTCATTTGAACTTTGAGTCTAAGTTTTTCTTTCTTGAATTTTGAATGGAGCACCACCTGACAAAATGTTTAGCCCTTGATGGATGGGAGTCGTAAGGGATTAACCTGTTTTTAAAGCCAACCGAGATACTGGCCGCCCTTGTGGCAGTGAGTCCCACAATTCCCTTGGTGGTTCTAGCATTAAAAAAAGTGCGTGTGTGTCTGTGAGTCTCCTGTGCTGCACTTCCTTCCGAAAAACTCCTGTCCTCGGTTCATAAATAACGGTGGGAGGCTTTGCAGGGAAGGACCTCCAATGTTTCTTTGTTGTTTTGCTGAAACGAACCCCCTTTAATTCTCTTGCCAACCTCTAGGACTTGTTGAATAAGGCCATTGTCTCTGCTTTGGGTGCCCGGAAGGAATGGGACCTCCGGCCCATCCAGGACCGGGCGGAGGTCTTCTTCAAAGCGGCCGACATCCTGAGCGGGCCCAGAAGGGCAGAGATCTTAGCCAAGACCATGGTGGGACAGGTAAGTGGGTGCATGGCTGGCTTGGGGTGTGGGTGGGGGTGTCACAGCCCTTCTGAAGGGGGGAAACCAGCACACGGAGAGCAGCCCCAGGCAAAATGAAGAAATATGTTGCAGTTGTATTAGAAGCTTCCTTGGGTGGGATAAAAAACAAATATTTCCCTCAACACTATTCAGCTCTTTACAAAGTGTACACTACTATTACTGTTAACCTTCTCATCACTCCTTTTCACCCATCCCCTCCCACTTGTGACTGTATGACTGTAATCTTGTTGCTTGTATCCTTACGATTTATATTGACTGTTTCCTAGTATGATTTGATTGCACCCTGTGACTATCGTTGTACGTCATGATTCTTGATTCTTAATGTATCTTTTATGTATACTGAGAGTATTTACACCAAGACAAATTCATTATGTGTCCAATCACGCTTGGCCAATAAAGAATTCTGTTCTGTTCTGTTCTATTCTATTCTAATTGTTCCCTATGACTATCATTAAGTGTTGTACCTGATTATTCTTGACTCTTGACGAATGTATCTTTTCCTTTATGTGCACTGAGAGCATTTGCACCAAGACAAATTCCTTGTGTGTCCAACCACACTTGGCCAATAAAGAATTCTATTCTATTCTATTCTATTCTATTCTATTCTATTCTATTCTATTCTATTCTATTTTCTATTTTCTATTTTCTATTCTATTCCCTTTTCTATTTTCTATTCTATTCTATTCCCTATTCTATTCTATTCCCTATTCTATTCTACTCTACTCTACTCTACTCTACTCTACTCTACTATTGTTCCCTATGATTATCATTAAGTGTTGTACCTGATGATTCTTGACTCTTGACGAATGTATCTTTTCCTTTATGTGCACTGAGAGCATTTGCACCAAGACAAATTCCTTGTGTGTCCAACCACACTTGACCAATAAAGAATTCTACTCTACTCTACTCTACTCTACTCTACTCTACTCTACTCTACTCTACTCTACTCTATTTGGCTTAGCGGCTGTCGGTTGCTAACCCTGAGATGTTGCTAGCTTTGTCCAAAGTCTCTGCTCCCCCCCCAAAAAACCCCCCTCTACATTGTTACTTTGACATGCTTACCCCTTCCCCCCTTTATCTCCAGGCTAAAACAGTCATCCAAGCAGAAATCGACGCGGCCGCAGAGCTGGCGGACTTTTTCCGCTTCAACGCTAAATACGCCCTGGAGTTGGAGGAGGAGCAGCCTATCAGCGCCCCGCCCAGCACTAACAGCCTGGTGTATCGGGGGCTGGAGGTAGGGTCAGCGTTCAGTTCTGATTTGGCAGGATCTGGGGGAAACTGAGCCCCGTCTTTTGCCATCACCTGGTAAGGGTGTGTGTGGGGGTTGTGTGAAGGCAGCTCCAGAGAATTAGAGTGTGTGTGTGTGTGTCTTCTCCACTGAGCTGCTGAGGGCTGTCCAGTCCCCTTGCCCAAGCAGGGGACTTTCCAACGAGCAGGGAGAGGCATTTGCACACACCCCCTCCTCCTTTTAAACAGCCCCCCAGGCCACTGTGCTTCTGTACAGATCATAAAAATGGCTATTTAGGAATCACGCACATTGGGGGTGTCGTTCTTGTTTCTCCCAAGATAGCGAGGAGAGAAACTGGAAGCTAAAGCAAGCATGAGGTACCCTCCCGATCTCCCTTAACAGACAGCAAAACAGAAATGATCTGTTATTCCCTACCCGTCCCCACCCTTCATGCTGCTTCCTCTCCACACACCTTTTCGGGGCGCGAGGACTTAAGAATCTCGAAACGGGGGGCGGGGGAACAGCCACGCTTTCAAAAAAGAGGTCACTGTCCCTCAGGCTCCAGGCCCCAGTCGGTCCGAGGTCGGGGCTTGCGAGGGGGGGTGCGCCTCTTTATCCTGCACCCTTTTTCCACTTCCCCTTTCCTCTCCCGCAGGGCTTTGTGGCTGCGATCTCCCCCTTCAACTTCACCGCCATCGGAGGGAACCTGGCGGGAGCCCCGGCGTTGATGGTGAGTTCCGCGGATCCCTTCTTTGCGCCTCCCAACCGCGGCCTTTCAAAAGATGGGCACACACACACACACACACACACACACACACACACACACACAGAGTCTCTTTTCTGCTTCTGGGGGCGCCTGCAAACTGAATATTCTCTGCTTCTGCCTCACCAGCTGTGGAAGCGCTTCTCGGGATCCCCCAAAAACAATCCCTTCGCGCCCTTGAGGACTAGGTCCTCCTTCGAGCTTGCATCCCGAAGAAGCTAAAGAGGGCTCTTTTTTCCCCCCCCCACCCTCCCCCCCCCCCCGCTCCCTCCTCTGCCAGGGCAACGTGGTCCTTTGGAAACCCAGCGACTCGGCCCTGCTGTCCAGTTACGCCGTCTACCAGATCCTCCTCGAAGCCGGGCTGCCTCCCAGCGTCATCCAGTTTGTCCCAGCAGAGGGCACCACATTCGGGGACACCGTAACCGGCTCGGAGCACTTGGCTGGCATCAACTTCACCGGCAGCGTCCCGTAAGCGTGGCTTGCCCAGCAGAGGGTGGGAAGGATGACACTCTGTGTGTGTGTGTATGTTTGTGTGTTTGTGTCCCTGGGGGCCCCACTCCTCAATTTAAGGAAGCCCCGTGTATCCTATCTTACAAACGCTGGGCCTTTTGAAACCATGTCACTTCCTGTCACTTGCAGCTTTCCTAACCTCCCTCTCACTGGGACAGAAAGCATCTTTGAGGACTCCACCCATATCACTCAAAACAGCTAAAAAACCCGACCTAGAATGGAAAGCGGAGGTCCAGGCGCTCCGACTTCAACCCCCAACACTTCTCAATCCTTCCCCCCCCCTCCAAAAAAAAGGTCCAATCGAGCTAAGACTTTCGACAGAACGAATGTTTATATTTTGAGAAAGCTTCCTGGGTCAAGGCAGATTGTTCGTTGTTATGCTTTCGCCTGCTCTGTTTCCGCCCTGTTTTTCAGAAGCCCCTTTTTAGGTCCCAGGGATTTGCAACCCGAAAGGGAAACAGTTCTGGCTTTCTGGGCTTTTCTCTCCTCCCTCCTCCCCCTCCCCTCCTCCTCCCCTTTCTCGATTTCAAGTGTGACCAACTTCTTGCTTTTCAAAACAATAAAAATGCTAATAGCTTCACCCCAGGAGTTCCACACTCTGCCTTTTAATTTATGAGCCTTCCCTCCTCTCGCCCCGCTTAAGGAGCAGGGGAGCAACCAACCGAGCATAGCTTTTTTTTCCTCTTCTCTTCTCTCCTCCGCATATGAGCGCCTGGCGGTTTTAATAGTCACACCGCCTTTTCAGAGAGCCAGAGATTTGCAAGCATTGGGGAAGGGGGGGGGAGTAGGCCCTTCTCACTCCCCCACACTCCCAAGATAGCCTCTGCTGATAGATAACTAAATAGCCAGCCGCCTCCTTGCAAAGAATTTTGTCTCAGTGTTATTGTTGTTGTTGTTTTTAAAAAGTTTCAGGTTTCAGAAGTTGTGGCATGGGGGAAAGGAAGTGCTAAGAGGTGCTTCATGCTAACCCCAGTCGGACCCCCAGCAGGGTGTGAGTTTGAAAAGGCCGGCCCCTGCCCTTGTGTGCATCCAGACCTTGTCACTGGCTTAGTGCCAGTAGAAGAGAGAGAGAAAAAAAGTGGAACCATTAAGGTCTTTTCTGATCATCTTTTTTTCTTTTCTTTTTTTTAAGGACTTTTAAGCGTCTCTGGAAGCAGGTCTCTGAAAATCTCGACCGCTATCGCACTTTCCCTCGGCTGGCTGGGGGTAAGAAATGGGAATGTTTATTTGATTTTATTTCCCATCCACCCCGAGAAGGCAAAAAACAACAACCAACCCCCAACAACCCCAGAAGAGCTCTTCATCGTGAATCCAAAGAACTTTGGGTAGCAATAGCAATGGCACTTGAGACTTATATACCGCTTTTGCAGTGTTTTTACAGCCCTCCCTAAGCGGTTTTACAGAGTCGGCCTCTTGCCCCCCAACAATCTGGGCCCTTGTTTTTCCAACCTTGGAAGGATGGAAGGCTGAGTCAACATGCCGGTCAACATCGAACTTGAGCCGGTCAACATCGAACTCCTGGCAGTGGGCAGAGTTTGCCTGCAATGCTGTATTTTAACTAGAAGGAAGGGAAGGGAAGGAGGAAGGAAGGAAAATAGCAATAGCCCTTATATACCGCTTCACAGTGTTTTTACAGCCCTCCCTAAGCGGTTTTACAGAGTCAGCCTCTTGCCCCCCCACAGTCTGGGTCCTCTTTTTACCCACCTCAGAAGGACCTTGAGCCAGTTGACCTTGAGCCAGTCAGGATCGAACTGCCAAATTGCAGGCACCCGGCAGTTCCGCAGAAGTAGCCCTGCCGTACTGCGCTCTTAACCGCTTGCGCCACTGCAGCTTGGGTAGCTTCCTAATCCGCTGCGCTGACGGTCTCCTGCGTGTATCGCCGGCTGACTCTTTTAAAACCAAATAGCCAGCGGCACCCCGGATGCTTGGTGGCAAGCGGAAAGCCCCCCGATCTCTCTCTCTCTGCCAGCACGGCGAGGAAGTATTTGCCAATCTCGCAGGGACCGGCCAGGCACCCAACCTGTGCAATTTCTCCAGGGTCCCCACTGTGTTAATGGAGGAGGCGCTTCTCCTTTCGCACCCCTTCCCAGCAATTCCACACAGACCTGGGGGGGGGGGTTTCCTCGTTGTTGCAACACCTTTTTTTTTAAGTAATTGGACTCTCCTCCATCCCAACTAACTCGCCCAACTTGTCTCCCATCCTCAGAATGCGGAGGGAAGAATTTCCACTTCGTCCACGCCTCGGCTGACGTGCCCAGCGTGGTGAGCGGGACAGTCCGCTCGGCCTTTGAGTACGGCGGCCAGAAGTGCTCGGCCTGCTCCCGCCTCTATGTGCCGGACTCTCTGTGGCCTCGCGTCAAAGCCGGCCTGCTGGAGGAGCATCAGAAGATCAAAGTGGGAGATGTGAGTTGTGGCTTGGCTGCTTCCTCGGCTGCCTCTGAGGCCCCTAAAGTCGTTTCTCCATGGGGGGGCTTCCCCTCTCCCCCCCTTCCCCCAGGCCCACATTCCATCTCAACAGGAGCTCTTGTGTGTGTGTGTGACTTAAGAATTAACTTTCGGGGCATGGCTATAGAAGGATGGTCTTTGATATGTGTTTAGCCCAAGGGTCTTCAGACTTGGCAATTTTAAGACTTGTGGGACTTCAACTCCCAGAATCCCTGAGCTAACATGACTGGAAGAGGAATTCTGGGAGTTGAAGTCCACAAGTCTCAGAGCTGTCAAGGTTGAAGACCCCTGGTCTAGTCTAAGGCAGCGGTGTCAAACTCGCTTTCATTGAGGGCCGCATCAGGGTTGTGTTTGACCTCCGGGGGCCGTGTGGGTGTGGCCAGCCCCAATGTCACTCGATGTCGGGCACCTGTGGCGGCCCGAGCACTCAGCCAGCCAAAATGGACTCCCGAGCTCCGTTTTCAGCTGCAACAGCCTCCTTGCAACCCTTTGCTGTGCCTCTTCCCTCCCTCTAGAGGCACCGCGGGTCAGTCCTTTGTTGTTTCCGGGGTGGCCCCACCGGGCCAGATCTAAGCACCCCGCAGGCCAGATGTGGCTGCGGGCCTTGAGTTTGACACCCCTGGTCTAAGAGATAAAAGGAAACACGAAAGGAAGGAGGGAGATGGAGGGAGGAGGGGGGGGAAGTAAGCTCAGGGGTCCTTTTTATTTTTCTAAAAACCACGGGGGAGACTTTTGAAAGTTTGGGGAAATTTCTAGAATCGGAGAACTTTACAGGCTGAAAATCATGAGATCTTCCCACCTCCAGATCCAGCCTCTAGAGTCTGAACTCGTAGATAATAGGGAGCCACGTTCAAATTTCTCCCAAACTCCTTATATTTTCCTTTGTTGGGCTTTCTCCACAGCCAGCTGAAGATTTCGGAACGTTCTTCTCCGCTGTGATTGATAGCAAGGTCAGATCTCATTCTTTCTTGTGAGTCTAAACCAGCTTTCGTCCCCCCACCCCAGGCAGAATGTTTTATGCTTTGACATTTGCATGTGCAAACAAGCACCTAGAATAAGTCTCTCTCTCTGTGTGTGTGTGTAACTTGCACTCTTAGAGACAGTAGTTTCAATGTTGAGAGAGCGCATCCTTCGTCATCATTTCACAAGCTCTTTTCAAGTCGAGAGGAGCACGTCCTGGGCCGTTTGCCTTACGTGTTCTTGTCCTAAGATCTTTTTCTGCTTGTTGTATTAGAAGTTAGTTCTTTGCTACACGGATGTAACTGCACTTTTTTTTTTCATTTTGCTGCTGTTTCTTTCAGGCGTTCGTGCGCATCAAGACATGGCTCAAGCACGCCGAATCCTCACCCAACCTGACCATCCTAGCCGGAGGCGGCTGCGACGATGCGGTGGGCTATTTTATCCAGCCGTGCATTGTGGAGACAAAGGACCCCAAGGATCCCATCATGGAAGAGGCGAGTCTTTGCGATGGGGAGCGGGGGCACCAAGGGGTGATCCTCCTGCCTTGGGAGGAGGCTAAATACCTCCCACAGTCTTTGCTTGTTCCCGGTGAGCGCCAGTCCTCATCCACGCACCTTTCTGCGAGAGTTTAAAAGCATCTCTGATTGTTGCAAACACACCGTTTAATTCAGCTCTTGGCAGACCCTCTCCAGGGCTCCCAACAGGTGCTGGAAAACGTAGTTCAGGCGCCTCCACAGCGATACGCAGCGGGCCCTCACTTTCGACGTAATTTTCCTAGCGGAAGTGCCCCCCCAAAGTTTGACAGAAACCTAGACGATGGTTTTCCCCTATGCACCGGCCTTTAATTTCAGTTCGTTTTCTCTCTCTTTCCCCGCGCGCGCAGGAAATCTTTGGGCCAGTTCTGTCGGTGTACGTCTATCCAGAGAAACAATACAAGGATATTCTCCACCTGATTGACAGCACTTCTCCGTACGGCCTCACAGGGGCGGTGTTTGCCCAGGATAAGTAAGCACTTGGGGGGTGGGTGGTCATGGGGTGGGGAGGTCACCCTCTACTTGGATCGAATGTTACTGTCCCGGAGAATTGGGAAATAACGGTCAGTTTTAAGGAGGAGGTGGGACCAGACCCAAATACTCTTAACCTTCTCCCAGCTCAATTGCAGCGGGCCAGAAGTTCCCCAGTCTTCAGTGTTGTCGTGGCCACAATATCCCAGCCTTAACGAAACCCCTTTGATCTGGAGTAGTATATCTTAAAGGGGAGGCGGTGGCTTCAGGGGCTAAGACGCTGAGCTTTGTCGATCAGAAAGGAAGGGTCGGTAATTCAGCGGTTCGAATCCCTGGCGTAGCCGCGTCACGGAGTGAGCTCCCCGTTCCTTGTCCCAGCTTCTGCCAACCTAGCAATTCGAAATAATGTAAAAAAATGCAAGTGGAAAAAAGAGGGACCACCTTTGGTGGGAAGCGAACAGCGTTCCGTGGGCCTTCGGGCGTTTAGTCCTGCCGGCCGCATGACCACGGAGACGTCTTCGGACACAGCGCCGGCTCTTCTTCGGCTTTGTGACGGAGATGAGCAGCGCCTGCTAGAGCCAGAAACGACTAGCACGGATGTGCGAGGGGAACCTTTTACCTTTTAGGCCCTGGGGAAGAGGACCCCCAGCAGTGGCACATGAGCTCCACCTTTAGTATATCTTAGAACTCTGGGGAAGGGGCTAAAACCCTTCTGCCCCCTTGCTGGGAATTCTGAACTCTTTCCCGTCCCATCCTCTTTGCTCAGGGCCGTGATCGATGAAGCCACCAAACTGCTAAGGAACGCGGCCGGGAATTTCTACATCAATGACAAATCCACCGGTGCGGTGGTGGCCCAGCAGCCGTTTGGGGGCTCTCGGGCATCAGGTACGTGGAGGGGTCAGATTGGGGGCGGGCGTGCTTCTCCCCTGGCCTGTTGTGAGAATATTTTGCACCACTTTATGATTTGGCGCTCTTGTTGTCATCACCGTTATCATCCTTGTCCTCGTTGTTATGGGTCTCCCCATTCCTGCCAACGGCTCCCAAGTACAGACAAAACGTTTGTTAACCGCTACACCTCGTTGTGGGTCGTTGGCACAAACAAGGGAGCCTCTGACACGCTGCGGCCGCCTTCGCCCGTCGCCCAATTCTTGTGAGTCGCGAAACAAGCTCAGCAACCACTTTCTCGCAACCACACGACGGCCCCAGGCAAGACGTGGGAAAGCGAGCCTGTGGTTTTCGTGGGACAGTGTGAGGTCTAGCGACTTGGCACGTTCGGTCGCAGAGGATGCCAATGCATTCCTTTCTTCTTTTTTGGACATAGGAACCAATGACAAGCCGGGCAGCGCTCACTACATCCTGCGGTGGACGTCTCCCCAGGCGGTGAAGGAGACCCACGAGCCCCTGGGGGACTGGAAGTACCCTTACATGCAGTGACGTGGCTTATGGGTCTTGGAAGTCTTGGGCGGTGACCGTTGGTGCGATGGGCTGTGTTTCTCTCCAGCAGCCTTCCTTGCCCGTCTCTCCTCAGGCACAAATTGCAAGGAGTGAATCGATTTCCTTCTCTCTCACTTGGACACCTTTGGAGAATTAACAAAATAATAATCCTACTGAAAAAAAAAATATCAAAATTTATTCCTCCGCTTCAGCACTGCCATGTTTGTTGATTTCTCCGGCGAGGCTTTGCCTGCTGAACCCTCTTAAAATGTGCATTCTTCAACTTTTGTATCTTGATTCTGATAAAAATTTTGGCTGCCTTTGGAGGGGAGAAGTAACTTGTGCTAAAGGCAGCCTGGTGAATCTCTTTCGTTAAAGAAACGGAGCCAGGGAGAAAGCAGATCCGGAGGAATTGCGAGCATCGATCAACACCCAAGAAGAGCCAAGCGCCCAGAAACTTCCTTCTCGTGCCTCCTAAGGAAGAGGTGGGCTGGCATTTTTGCTGAAAAGTTTTCGCTTGCGTGCTTGGACAGTTCACCCTCCAGATGGGATGCTGGTTCTTTTTAAAAGATCTATTTTTGTAAAAAATGTGAACACTCAAATCAGGGAGAAGCAATGCTTTTAAAAAAAGGGGGGACTTTTGCTAGCTTGCCAACTAAACTAATTCTCTGCAAAAAGCTCTAAAATCAAGGGACGGAAGAATAAAAATCGAATGTATGAAACCGATCGATTGAGGAAAGGCTGACGAACCGATAATTTGCAGTACCTTAAAGGGCATAAAAGCTTTATATATAAAAAAGATCTCCACGACTGTGTTTGTGCATCATGGCTACACCATTTGCCCTGTATTGCTGACTAACATTTTTAGCCCTTGTAGCTTTGGAAAATGGATTTATATAACGGATCGCGTAAGCAGATGTAAACCAATTTGGTTCTTACTCCATTAGTTCTGAAACTCCGATCTTACTCATCGCTTTTGTTCCTAGATAATTGTTTTGATTCCTGGTCCAGACTCATGTTGTCATGATTTCCTGCCGAGCTGAATTTACATTTCTGTTTTTGTTTTTTTGTTTACGCACATCGCATTTCCATCACTTAAAGCTTCTGTACGGACTGAAATGCTCCAAAATCTGCTCTTAATTTTTCTTGCACAAAAAGACTCCTTTCTTGCTTGCTTTGCCTTTATTTAAGTCTGTTTAACCCTCCGAGAACGGCAGCAGTTGATTGTTACCACAGAAAGGTCTCAACACTGGATGTGCTTCCAAAACAGAAAGAAAAATACCCAACTAGGGTAGCTAAATAAATATCTCCCCGTTTCATGATGGCTCATCGTTTCCAGAGAAGGAAAAAAACCTCCAATATGGGAAACTACCAAGTCTTGAGGTCATTCCTTGAAGCTCTTTTTGTTCCTTTAAAAAAAATAATCGTAATTTTTATTGTGTTGTAAGATAAAATAACGTACAAAATACGAAAGTAAGTAAGGAAAGCAGTAGGGAGGAAGAGGGGGAAGAGAAGTGAGGAAGGATTAGGAAAAAGAAAAGGTAATGACTTCTGACCCTGTTGCAGTAAAATAAGGCATTTAACAACAAATCACAACTTTTCGTGTTTTTTTTTTTTCATAATCCTATAAACTAGCCATTTCTATAAGGATCTATAAAACCCAAAATCAAAATTTAATTCTTTTCCACTCCAAGCACAGAGCTCCGAAGCGGTCTCCGTCTGGGAACAAGAGCACTTATATCCTTTTCTTTAATCAAAATAACGTCCATTTTGCCATTTCAGCCAACTCTTTATCAACTTTGGCAACCATTCGTCCATGGTAGGAATCGAAGTGCTCTTCCATTTGTGTGTGGGGGGGCATACAGTAGCCTTGCTGTATAGCGTCAAAAACTTCCAAATTTTGGAGCATGATTCACATTTTAATACAGAAACATTTTGAAAATGAAGGAGCTTTTTTTTTTTTCATTCCTTGAGCGAACCAGCCTTGCGATTCCTGGCTTGGCGGTGCATGGAGAACCAACACCTGTATGGTCATCAGAGTTTAAACAGCTAAGTGCAACCGGTTCGATCAAGCATTGATAATATGTCAGGTGAAAAGACTTATTAATAAACTTTTCTGCAAAAAAAAGGAACAGTCTGGAGTGCAGTTTTTTTCCAGTTAAAAGAGGTGGCTGAATTTTCCCTGAAAGCGTAACGTGGACCGGAATGAAATGTTATTTATTGGAAACGGATCAGAGCCATCCTGGGTCTTTTAAGCAACCAGGTGGTTGGTGCCTTCAGCTCGTAGCATCTCAAGACTGGTGTGAACGTCTTAATTTGGGACTGAAAAAAATAAAATCTCTGATATTCAGGAGTCAAGACAGAAAAGAAACGAATCAGAGCTGCAAGATGAAACCTTTGTGGTTTGTTGACTGGTGGGTTTTGTTTTTTATTTTAATTTAATTGTTTGAGACGGGCACAATCCCCGTTTTGCAGGGTTCGGGTGAAAAACGAACCTTAATCCAGCAGGCCCATTTTATGAGGGTGGGACAGCCAGGTGAGTCTTCAATGTTGACCAGGGGTTTCAAGCTCGATTTCGTTGAGGGCTGCATATCAAGATGGTGTTTGATCTCAGGGGCGGGTGGGCGTGGCCAGGGTGGGCGTGGCCAAGTCAACGTCACTCATCGTGGCTCCGTTTTCGACCACGACGGCCTGCAGCCCTCTGCCAGCAAAAACGGAGCATGCAACCTCCCCGGGAGTCCATTTTCGCTGGCAAAAGCACCGCAGGATGGTCCTTTGCTGTTTCCAAGGTGGTCCTGCAGGCCAGATCTAAGCATCCTCCAGGCCTTGAGTTGGATACCCCTGATGTTGACGATTGACCCGTTTCTAGGCTCAGCTAATTTGGGGGGAATTGAAGGCAACCTCCAGGAATCCGGTGCCAATTCTTCCCACGTTGTCGCCAACAAAACCACATAGAGAGGTCCGTACACATTCCTACAAGCCACCTTCGTTCTTGACACCCGAATTGCAGCAGATCCCTGGCCTCTTGGCAGGAGGAGGCTTGCAAATTTCAGACAGCGGTGACCGTCCTAAGCTCAAAAGGTTATTTCAAACCAGCTGTCAGGATTTTGGCAGTTACCCCCAATTAAATCATCTCCAGCCAGACTTCCAAAACTTCAAAAGGATTTATTGGGAGTTAACATGTCCGGCACTGCCTGGGTGCGGCCGACTCTGAGACACATCATTCATGGTCAACCTTGACCCTGGTTTTCCCCCTGAACCCCCTGGTTGTATCATAATTCATATTCTCCAATGGGACACATCCATAGCCAAAAGTCATCAATCCTGCTTTCCAGTTAGATATTTGCGGGGCAGAAACTTCAGTCACCTAGTTACTATCTTTGAAAAACTATGTACGGGATGCACTTTCGCTTTCCAAGCTGCCGCACTGCTCTTCCAAACCCCCCCCCCCCCCCCCCACTTCCCTTTCTGTTGGCAACTCTTAAAAAGACCGTAGAAATATTTTACGAGTTGACACCAGCTTTGGATTCAGAACAATTGCTTTTAGGAGTCGTAGCCCCAGAAATTCTGCAGAGCCCCGGCGGCTGTTTGGCCCTCGAAGGCTCCGAAGCACCTAAAAGAGAGACGGGAATCTATGCAAAAGAGGTCAGCTTTGGCCACTTATGCAAAGGGGCCGCGGAAAGAAGCCGCAACCGAAACGCAGAACGTAACCCTCGGTTGCCTGGGGAAGAGCACGGCGCTGACAACGGGCACCATTTTCTGCCTTTCGGTCGCCGTGGTCAGCACATCTTTCCACTTGGCAGGAGATTATCTCTGAGGGGGCTCTTCTCCCTTCACGCAGAAGCGAAGGGCGTTTCTCCTTCGCGGTACCCCTGGGTTGCCTGTGTGTAAGCAGTAAGTAGCAGCGGGAAGAAACGTTGAGGTTAGTGATCTACGCAGGCAGCGGAAGTGGCAAAGCAACCGGGGCCACTGGCCATGCCCAAATCTTGCCAGTCCCCTGGCACTTGCCTTGCCCAGATGGAGAGGGGCCATTCGGCATCATTAAAAATAAGAGAAATGAGGTGGACCTGGAATGGATTCATGCTTGTGTTAAGAGAGGAGGCCAACGTTGCCCCAAGCTCACCAAAGGTTTACTCGGCCTCGGTTTTCTCGTCTGCGTTATGGGGTTAATTTAAAAGGCATTGTCTTTTCTGATCCTGCCACTGTCCGGAATCCTTCCAGAGGGAATCTGCCCCAGATTCGGGGGATCCTTCCAGAGGGAATCTGTTTTTTTTTTAAGGAGAAAGGTCTTTTTTTTTTTAATCAGATGCCTGGAAGGTTTAAAAAGAGCCGTGTCCCTCACGGTCTCCTCTTCAGATACAAAAGCATTACACACTGAGAAATAGCGTGTTTATTAAACGAGAGAATCGAACCCCACAAAGGCCATCACGCTCCCAAGGGCCGATTTTAGACGGGACGGGGATGGGGTGATGGGCCAGAAAACCTTTTGGTGACACCCAAGTTCCCTCTTTTTTTTCCTGCCTCTCCCACCTTTCACAGGTACCTGCCGAGGATGTCCAGCTACAGCTGCTTCCAAGCCATGAGGTTTGCAGTGGAAGAGATCGATAACTCCACCAGCCTCTTGCCCAGGGTCCTGCTGGGCTACGAAAGGATGGACGTCTGCTACCTCAACCAACGCCGTCCACCCCATCCTGTATTTCCTCGCCGACAACCGCTCGCCGACCGAAATGGGCAGGAATCGCACTTGGTACCACCCCACGGTCGTTGCCCTCATCGGTCCCCATTCATCCCACAGCGGCCATCGTGGCAGCTTATAATTTCTGAGTCCCTTTCCTGATCCCAAAGGTGAGCCGCGTGGATTCTCTCCGGGGGGAAAAGCAGGAGGGGAGAAGCCTGCCAGGTGTTTTTAACAGGATAAAATAATCGCTGTGTCATATTAATCCCCAAATGAAAATTGGAAGCACAATATGGCACAAATTAAGTGGCTTAAGCTAACAGGCTAATAACGTAAAAACTGGAAAGGGAAGGAAGGAAGGAAGGAAAGGAAGGAAGGAAGGAAGGAAGGAAGGAAGGAAGGAAGGAAGGAAG